CAGAATATGCGCTAAGTGAATAAGTTTAATTCTATTGTTCTATCTATGGAATAAATATTATTTGCTGCATTTTCTTCCAATATCAACAAACTCCTTTATACTGAGCATAGTGAATCACCAAAGAAGTGAACGCTCTTTTTCAACGAGTATTGATCTATATACGAGAACTTTTAATACATGTAAAAATTAAGATGTTTATTCAAGCTCAAAAGAAAAAAAACAGAAATTAGGCATTTAAAGTCCATATTTTACAATCAAATGTTAACTGACTTTTTTCTGTGCTCATATCAGACAGACATACGCTCATCATCGTTTTATAACAAATTCAAAGATCAATCATTAGTGCTTTTGGCTTCTGACCCATTTTTAAACACAACGAACTATTTCTTTTCTGTGAATATATTCGATACAACTTGATTTTAACTGTATCGATATCGAATAGTATAAATATTTTTTCTATTTGAACATAAATTTGGACATATAGATGTAGACATGAATGAAACGTTAGGTGTACAGTATTTGTAATGGTTTACAAATTAGAATGAGTTAGTAATTATAGACACATATACTCGCTCACATATAAGCAAAGTAACAATTAGTTAGTCCTATGTTTATTACCAGCAGCGCTATTTACTTTCTGTTATTTTTCATTCATCTAGATTATTTGTCGTTGTTGAAACTCACTACAAATGTATATATTGTTTCTATCTATATTTGTCTGGAGGATATAATGTTTTGATTGAGCTTATAGAATCAATAAAAATATATGTTCTACTGAGACTTCTTGTTAGATAAGATTCACACATGGATAAGTCAACTACCATTTTCCTTTTCTTATAGTATGACTAAAAAGATCTTCACAGAAACTGTATATAATTAAAAGTTTAAGAATTATATTCGCGTAAAATTTCGTTTTAAGATTTCTATGGTCCTCTACTGGCATAGGTTTGATGATTATTAGTCTGTTACACTATTTCCTTGGATAGATATTTACTGCATAAACGGGAAGGATACTTGTTCACAATAACAGTACTTTCAACAGTGAATACCTACAGTCCCCACACATTCTCCTGTACTTATAGCGATTCTTTAATCAAAATGGAAGACAAAAGTAAAGCGTTTGACGTTAAAAACAACTTTCATCCTGGCAGTGTCCATGGATGAGCAGTTTGGACTATACCCTATCATTAGACGTATAAAACTCTGTTTTTGAAAGATTTGTAAAAGAAATCGTCAGATAAGATTTCAACGAAAATCAGACAAGATTTGCTTTCAAAACACAGTTCGGCAGTGGCCCACAATCATAAAAGGTGGGGGTACCATGCGAGAGAGGCCGATTACTGCGGAAACAAGAAACGGCGGTAAACTACTAAAATTCCTGCTAGAGAACTGCTAAAAATATGAATTCTTATCGATATGAAAAACGACAAACTGGCCTCGCAAAATCTCCGGAATTCCGGCTTCTAGTTACCCCACGAATTTGTCTCGTTTGGAATGCTTTATACACCGGTAGCTCAGATCGGTCTGATTTGAGAACATCTGCAATTACCCAATATCTATATGAGGCTTAAAATTTTTTCAACTACTATTTTCAAATCCAGATGTACAGACATTTAGATACTCAGATATTGAGATACTCAGATGTACAGATATTCAAATGTTCAGATACTTAGATACTCAGACATTCAGATACGCAAATATTCAGATGTTCACATATTCAGATGTACAGATGTATAGATGTTCAAATATTTAGATACTCAGATATTCAGATGTTCAGACATACAGATGTATAGATGTATAGATGCACAGTGGGCAATCAAGTCAACATTAGGTGGAAAATCGAAAGTGAGATTTTCCAAATTTTGAATAGCAATACGTATACCATAACAAATATCCAATTTTTTGGTAAAAAGCTTTTTGTTGTGAGGTTTCGTATTGGTCGAAAAAATGAGTCACAAAAACACATGTTTCACGCACGATCGGTGTTTCGCACGTGAAGTTTTATCCTAGTTATTTAAGTTTAGCTTTTCTAAGATTTTAAACAAATATATTTTGAAAGCTGAGCGACTAAGCTATCGATTGGTAAAAAGAATGTTGCTTGGAGCACTTTTCGTGCTGAAATAAAAAGGGTTTTTCTGAAAGCGATGGTTTTCCAAAAAAGGGTTCTATGTAAAATCGAGTTTCCAAATTTTCCTAATGCCCAATCTTGATGAAACTTTCAGGAAATGTTCTTCTATATAGGACACGTCTATCCTGTTGGCATAAAATAGCATAAACTTTCCTAGGCGGAGAAACAGATTTGACAAAACCCCTCGTTTTCCACAGGATTTTCGCCCGATTTTCAGGCCATACTCACTCTTTCTTCAACAATAATAACATATTCGGAATCAGCGTGAAAAACTACATCGAGTGATATATAATTTACAGCAGTTTCTTGGGGAAAAGTTCTAAGTTTCCGTGGAAGACTAAATTTGAGGCAGCACCGTGGTACTTGAGGCCGGTGGTTTTTATATCGTTCAAAAAGAGATCTGGAGGCCTGAAAATAATTGTTTCATAGGTTTCCGAGTACGACTGATTCAATGGAGTTATTTAAAAAATTCTAAACTGGTTTTGCAAAGGTTTTCTATAGACCGGATCTCTGCAAAACCCTTAAAGCATGAATTTTGAACTTTGTAAGTGATTCCATTAGAAAGAGCACGCTCGAAAACCTACAAAAACATATCTGGGAGATCTTTCCAGCGCTTTAAAATCCAATGTCCACATCCCTAGCCAAAATTGCCCACTGTGAAATGTTCAGATATTCAGATGTTCACATATTCAGATGTATAGATGTTCAGATGTTCGCATATTCAGATGTATAGATGTATAGAATATTCAGATGTTCACATATTCAGATGTATAGATGTATAGATGTTCAGATACTCAGATATTCAGATGTTCACATATTAAGATGCACAGATGTACAGATGCACAGATGTATAGATGTGCAGATATATTCAGATACTCAGATATTCAGATATTCAGATATTCAGATGTACAGATCTATATGTATATCTAAATAGCTGAATATTTAAGTATCTCGATATCTAAAGATCTGTATATCTAAATATATCAGTATCTAAATGTCTAAAGATCTCAATATCTAATAATCTTTCGCAAGAAAATCATATATTTTTCCAAAAAGCATAATCGTAAAAATCAGACCCTACTGCGATAGCTAGGTGTTGATTTGACCCTTTCTACTCTCACATTTTCGTTTTTCAAATGTATCCAACTAGTTAGATTCTTAACTGGACTCTGCGGGACGGACATTTCTTGTTCTACTGTACTTTGTCTCACTTTGAAAGCCCTTCGTTTTAAGTAGGAAAAGAGGCTTCGAGAGAAGGAAATCAACCCAGAACCCTCTAACAGCATGCCAGAAGCTCTAACCACTGAGCTACCGAAGCACTATCTAGCATACATTCTCAGTTCACATGAATGGTTTAACTATCAAAGGCTCGGCTACCGACGCAATATCCCTCGTACAATGAGCAGTAGTACTGCTAAAATATACTTTCTAATTTCATCAAGTCCTGTTTCAAAATTCATCAGATTATTTTCTCATTGAGAAAATTTAATTGTGCTTACACAAGTGAGATATATTATCTATCAAATCAATTGTCGTCTACCCTTATGCACTATACACTGGAATGGAAATAGAAACAAAGAAAAAAAAAATCATTCTTTCATATCAGTAAGAGATATTTTGCAATACTATTCAGTCAACATACAGATTTTAGTAATTTAATTTGTGTTAATCGTAATTGTACGAAATAGTTTAGAGATCTTTGAATGCTATCTCAATTTTTGTTGTTATTTCGATCTTGTATTGTCATAATTGAACATAGGTGATATTCTTTTTTTTGAAAACTTTGAATATTTTTTTTTCTTTGTTTTTATTTTCGGTTTCGCATTTCTCTTGATATTGTTTAGAAACACGTCTGCTGTACAGAAATCAAAATAATTTCTTTTTCTGTCTTGCCTAAATATCTTTCATTCCCTCTCATTTAACGTTGACCTTATAACGTACATACATACACATACATACAAAACAATAGTAGTTTTAAAGTTTAATATAGAAAGAATTCTAAAGAGTTCCGTATACAGTAGGTACTCATATTCACATGTGTTCGTCAGTTTAACAAAAGATGACTTTACCCATACACAATGTGAGTGAGTAAGAAGATTATGCATTAACTTTGTTTAGTGTGTACAAGTGCTAGATAATATTCAAAAAAAAAGAGACAAATGGGAGAGAATAATTAAGAGAAGTTGAGCTTTAGTTCATCGTATTGAATGATGAGAAAAAAAATTCTATATTATATCCTGGAAAAGAAAGTGTTGAAAAATACATGTAGATTATTCTATCGAATATCATCTATCATTTCCTTTTATTTTTGTATTTCTCGAGTTGAAAGAAAGAACGAGTTCGTGATATATTTGCTTACTTATTGATTGACATTTCAATAAATAGAGATATTCTTTTCTCTTTTTTTGTGTTCAGAACATATATAGATTTGAAAGTAAAACTTTGTAAGTTCCGATAAATAACACAATAAGTGTTGATGTATTTGAGTTAAAACAACTGAAAAACAATATATCGGTTAGTTAGTTATCGTTTGATAGTGCTTAAGGACCATTTTTAACAAAAATTATCATTTAAATCATCATTTTTCGATCCATAGAAAGATTGGTCTTTGATCAAGCTGAGTACTATAGATCTGATGACTGATTCAATCTATCTTTATATTTCGTAAAGAACATCCACAAGTCGAGTTTCAAGAATAAGAAATTCACACCCATTTTCTCAAAAACATAATGTTTGTTTTAGACACTCTTCATGTATTATTCATTGGATAATGATATTATGTTCTCTTTTTATCCTTGGTTATTATCTAACTTTTTCTCTATTGCAATTAAAATATTTAACACGCGAATGTTTGTTGACGTCATTATTGATTATGTTTCCATTCTGCTCAAAACTATCTTCAGTATCTACTACTTCATCGTATGTCCGTTATATTGAACAAACATCAAATGTCACTCATTTAATTTATTATCCACAATTAAAATGGTTATATGTTGCATCAGTTGGTACTCTATCTATATACGATCAAAATTTAACACTTTTACAAACAACAAAAATACAAAATACCTATACGAACGACTTAGATTTATGTATAATAAATCCATGTCAATGTTTAAAACAAAATATTAGTGTTAACTCAGTTTACAATAGGGATTCATTAAGAAAAATATATCGTCGACAAACATTACTATTAAAAAACTCATCTTATTTATCACCAGCTATGCAATCATTATTACCATCAGAAGTATCTAATATTACACCATTATCACTTATCTATTCATCGTTATTAAAAAATGGTATTGATCAAAATAATTATAATTTAGCATTTTATCTTGAAACAGAATATCAACTACATTCAAAACCATATTTAATTGATTGTTGGTCATTACAACAAGGTACATGTATTTTACGAAATGCTTTAAATTTAACCGATGTTTATTATGAACAAAAATTTAATTTAAATAAAATTCAACAATCAAAACAATTTTTATTTAATATTGATCCAACAATTCCAAATCATATCTATCCATTTCGTCTTAAACTTCAATCGTGTACAAATAGTACTGTTTATTTATTTTTGACATCAACATTACGAAAAAGTGTGTCAATGACAAATAAAAAGATAGTCAATAATTCAACAAATCTATTATATTTACAGTGTTTAGATCAATTACAAAGGCGTACATTAACTCTAAGACTATTGGCATATAAAGATGACTTAAAATCAAACGATTTCATGAATTCAAAACAAGAATCGACACGAACAATGATGAATGAAGTGGCAAAACCAGATATTGTTTTTAATACAAATAATACGGTCAAATCTGATGATATGTTAAGAATAACCACAGTACCCATTAAAGTATCAACAACTGCAGTTATAAATGAAATGGTCTCGCCTTTTGTTAATGTTACTATGCAGAAAAATCAGGATAAAAAAATGACATCTTCTGAACCATTTATAAATATAAACGATTACTGTCATGATACATTTTCTGTTATACATTCAATATACACTGATTTTTTTGAACAAGAATCATCGGAAAATTTTCGATTATTTCAAGATGTTATTTATGATAAAAAAGAGTCGACTTTTTATGTATTTACAAATCAGTATCAAACATCAGACCATTCTTATGTAAGTAAAATAATACGTTTATGTGAAGGAATGATATCTTTTCGACATTATGTGGAAATAACATTAAGTTGTGGAATAAATTATACTTTAATACAAAAAGTAAAAATGATTACATTAAAAAATGATAAACAATATATTTTAACAGTAGTATCAACTGCAAGTAGTGCACATAGTATTGAACCAAGTCAACATTCAGCAATATGTATGTACGATTTGGATATAATAAGAAAAGCATTTGTTCAAAACATAATGGATTTATCAAAAGGAAATATTTCATTGGGAATGTCTTGGCTTCATGGAGAATCCATTATTGTAAGTCTATTGTACTCTTTTATTTTTAGAGAACAATATCTTACTGTTATTGTTTTTTCTGGGAATATATTTTAGCCACAGTATGCCGCACCCTATTCCAATCTTGCTCATTGTTCTACGACGCGAGATATCAGTTATTTAATGATCTATGAAGGTTATCAACCGATTTTTTCTGAACCATTGATTAATTTTAATTCTGATCAATTAACGTCAATTGAGGCAACGGTTATTAATAATTATATTGTGACAATATGCGGAACATCTGAAGGAAAAATAAAAAAGGTGTGTATATAGTAAAAATATAAACTATGAGTTGTTATAGAGGGTGGACTTCTTATTAGATCGGTATTCAAATATCAACGAGAAAAGCATATCAATTTGAAGAATTATTTGTTCATTATGGTGAGCCAATACTTCGTCATTTAGTATTGGATGAAGAGGGACGATTTTTGTACGGTGCAACAAAAACACGGGTAATGAGTGAGTACGATAAATTTATTTGTGCTTATAGTATTTTAAATCTAATAGACTTGTTTCATATTTTAGTTATTTCAAATTGATTTACACGATTGCAATCGTCATACAACATGTTTTTCTTGTT